AAGATGATAAAAATATTACATTTGTTAATAAGAAAATTTACAGTCAGACCCTATAAAAGGTCTTTAGATCAATTCAATTCAAATCCCCTTAATGCTTTTCAAAAAAATGTTTTTTTAACAGTTTATAATAACAAATTAATTAAAATGACTTGTTTCATGTCTTCACTTTTTTACGGCAAATCTAAAAAACGAAACAAAAAAAAACTAACTCAGAATTTCCTATAAGTTTCTTAACAATGATAAAACAATATGTTCTTCTTTTTATGCTCAAGTTAAGCAGAATAGCAGGGACTTAGAAAGACTCCACCCTTTGGGTCAGTCAAGAAATAAAATCCCCACTCAATTTCACTGCACATTGAATAATATACCTTCTGCTATTTCAGCGACAAAACAAAAACCACGGAAAAAATGTGTGCGTATAATTCGCTGTATCCCTTGCACTTCCATGCGGCGGGGCCTGGCTTACAGTTGAATGTAGCGTTTAATTCTTGTCTATATTTTTATTATTTTTGTTTATTTTTTTTTTATTTATTTATTTATTTATTGACGTGGAAAAAAAATAAAATCATTTTTCCTTAAGATGTGTCAGAATAACAAAAATAATTTATCACTACGTATTTTATCAATTTTATTTGATGAAATCCGAATTAATTTCACTATTACGTGCATAGTACCAGAGATATTCATCCATGTTAGTACTCATCCTTTAGCTCTTTGTAGATCGCGATTATGTACGAAGTGACTTCCGTTTCTGGGCATTTGATTAAATTTCTATGCTTAAAAGCCATGTACATTTGTAAATGTTGTATGAGAATAAATTAAGAATTCGTGTTAAGTAATACAAAAATATGTACATATACATAACAATATAACGATGTCACAATGTTACACAGTACTAAAATTTACCCAAGCAGCACTTCCGGTGTGAACATTTGTTAAACTCTAATTTAGTTCATTTCAACTAACAGTTACACTACAAAAGAATCATGAATTATTTTAATAAGAATGATACACTTATAGTTCAATATTAAAAATATAAATCCTTGAAAAAATGAATTTCTTTTTAAAGTTATCATTTTCTTTATCGTAATACACTCCTCTTAAAACAGATATTTGCCATTGGTCAATTCAATCACCATGTCTTGAATCAGCCAATCAGATTCTTCTATTTCTATTTTTTTCAGCCTTTTAACATTTTAAGAACAAATTGTAGTGCATGTGAACCAGTCAATGAGGTTTCATGAATCAACCAATCAGATTCTTCGTTTCCTGGACTGGGTACCGGGTTCTCTGCTGAAATGAGCTATTAAAATTCTGAGAACAAATTTGACTACATGTAAACCAGTGAGTGAGAGGGTCTTTAGCTGCTTTTGAAACATTTTGTAATCTGTAAACATGGGATATGGTTTCTTTCCGTACCGATGCATAGCACTGTAAACAGAGTCATGCTATCGGCAGGAATTATGTTGTGTTAAACCAATCATAAGTATTTACATGAACTAATTTTTTTGAATATCAATTCCTCCCACAGCCATTCAACTCATTGAAGTTTTTTGGCCAATATAAATATATCTTAAGTGCAAACTGTTTGAATCATTGTGTAATCAAAGTAAAATGTAACGCTAAAATAATCTCAAAATGTTTATGATATTTGCCTTGCAGTGGTAAAATCTTTATATATAATATTCAAAAGAGCACATTTAATGATAAAGTAAATAATTTTGATTATAATTTAAATTATTCAATCTCAGCATGCGTTCAAATTCACTTTTTAGCAAAATTTTACACAGACTGGGTGATTAGAAAGTATTTTCTCAACACTAAAAGCCTGCAAAAACTGTTTCAAGTGCTTTATATAATACACATTAAAGTGTCTTAATATTTGTTGCTTTACTTCATATTGACTCAATTCAAAAATGGCAGTATTTTGAAAATGCACTTATCTGAAGACTTAAACAAAATACAACTGTGTATATATATAATCAGAAACAGACATGAATGTTCATGATTCTTTAAATGATTTTGTATAAAAAGTGGTATGCTGTAAAAAGATGTCCACATTGTTTACGAAAGGTTTACAATGTGTAACAGTGGTTCGTGCTTACATATTTTCTGTTTTTATCTCCAGTGGGGATCATTTCATTCCAATGCCAAAGGTAATTTAATTTTGTACATTCTTAAATTTAGGTAACTCAGGTGTAGCCAAAGATGCTGATTATAATTTATCTATTCTATATGATAACTTAATTAAATGTGTATCCAATATCCCGTACCTCGCTTTTTTAATGTACTAAGGGAAGTAACTCAAATAATAAAACATTTGCAATTGCGAACAGTTGCTTCCCTTCTTTTCGTCTGCACACCAATTCGTCAATCACAAGCGGAAAGAGCATACAATACACCCCCTCCCCATCGAATCGAGACATCTACGTTAAAAAATCGTTACATTCAATTCGAGTTATACAAACCTCTCAGAAAGGTTTTTATTCGGAAACCAAGTGCCTTTGTACTTAACAGGTTCCAGTTTTTTATATTATTTTTTGTATTATTATCTTTTTTTTAGAATTTCTTACCCATTTGTGGCCATAGCAACCACATTTCTCAACACAGGAAGAAGATAAAAATAATGAATATAATTTGCATATTCTCCATATTACATTGCAGTTGTTTTATTTACCATAATACTATAATAATATTATTATAGTTGTTGAAATATGATTTTTTTTTAAAACGGCATATATTAAGATTTTTTTTATATATATGATCAGTACATGTGCTGGGATTGACAAATATGCATTTTATTTGGATTTTAAAGGCGTTTTGAGCTCCAAACCCCAAGTGTCTGTGAAAATGGACGCCAAGTTTCAAATAATGTGCGTTTTTCAGATGCATGCATTTCTTAAATAGGGAATCTCACAGGAATGAAGCTATGAATACCAAATTGTGTGCAAGGTTTGTTGTCCATACGGGATGCCATTAAAATGATGTTTTTTGGTGAAATTTTGCATTATATTTACCATTATATGTGGGCGTTCTCGACTGTTTATGGCTTATTGATTCTATTTAAAAGACCCTGTGTATGCGTACCGTATGTAAACATTGTATACATATTGCGATTGTTTATAATGTACGACTTAATTGGAATGAGCCGTGTCATGACAAAACCAACATAATGGGATGCGCAGGCTGGTCTGGATCCATGCTGGTCGCAAACCCACTATGTTGGTTTTGTCATGGCGCGGCTCAAATGTATTCAAGTAATTTGAACGCCCAATGGTAAACATCCTACAATTTGTTTACAAATTCTTACGCAAATCGTTTCGTACCATCGGATTTTGCAGAAAAAAATACTCAAAAGGTCATAATTTCTGCACAAAGGGAAGAAATAAAACATTTGTCTCCTAGAATGCATAGCTACATGGTAGTTTAACCAGTTAACATACGTTTTAAAGAAATTGATATTGTATTGTAGGAAAAGTAGCGTTTCTAAAGATAGCAAAGTGCCAACAAAAAGGCTAAAAATAAGAGGACTGATGATATTGATAACTATGAATGAAAGACAGGCATTATGTCGAGATAACAAAGTTCAAATCTGCATCTAGAACTGTGCATGTAGTAGAAATTTTATACAAAAAGCTCAACCTACAAAAAGTAGGTCGCTGGGTCAAATTATTCTAGGTCAACCGATATGAAAGTTCAACCATGCACCTGAATCTGTGGCAGTATTTCAATTTTCAATATTGTAGCTCTAAATACAAAAAGTAGGTCAATCAATCAAAATCTAGGTCAAATTTCAATTCTGCAACTGAAACTGTGCTAAGTGGAACTTTCCTGCTTCAAAAAGTTGGTCACTGGGTACAAATCAAATCCAACAAATGTCAAAGTTCAGTTTTGCATCTTTAAATCTGCATATGGTCCAAAATTCACAGCTGTAGCTTAAAAAAATTAGGTCAAATGGTTTAAGTTTTAACTATAAATAAATAAGGGGAATCCATGAGGACCATGACCCACCTACATGTATGTGACCTACATGTATGTGGGGCCAATTAAGACTATAATTTGAACAAACTTGGTAGAGGTCCACAAGACAATGTTTCATGCTAAATATCTAAGCATTAGCCAGTTATAACTATCTACAATTACGGAAAATCCACAACTCCTTGGGTGGGGCCAAATTAGACCAGAGGGCTATAATTTCAACAAACTTGAAAGAAGACCACAAGACAATGTTTCATGTTAAACATATATCAGATATAGTCTTCATGGCTTTTGAGAAATAGAAACCTTTAATCACATGCTGATCAACATTCCTGTAAAGTTTGTTGACTCTAGCTCAAACACTTTTAGAGCTACATGTGAATCCCCCCCCCCTCGCACACACATACAAACGAAAACACAGAAAGGGCCAATCTAAAATATTTTTTTGTAAAATGTCATGTTTCAAGATCCCTATGATATTTTGTTTTGCGGTAAAAGGTTTTTTTTCCTCATAATATATATATAATGATCATCATTATTAAATAAAAACTTTAATAGCAAAATATAAAATGTGGCAAAGTTAAGTAACAAGAGCTGTCCGTAAGACAGCATGCTCGACTATTATAAGTACTTGCCTAAAGTTGTAATGATTGCCACTTACAAGTATAAAAGTTTCAAAACAATACCTCAAAGGGTATAGAAAATAGGTGGGTTGGTATGAAAAACTTAACCAAAAGTATGATGCAAACGTCAAAGGCCAGGGTATGATACGGTAGCTATCTTAGTATTGTATAAATAGTCAGACTAAAAATTACTATGAATTTACCCATTTACTGATTATAATTATACATGTGTATATATCTTTTTTCAAACATTATTGAAATCTGATTAGTTTGTAAATAATGTCTATGCTTGGTATACATGTAGATCCATTCAAACAACCATAATTTTTTGCATGCAAATGATTTTATTTCTCATTCTGCATTTTTTCCAAATTTTAAAGAAAAAACAACAAAAAAACATTTCTTTTCAAATTATCTTTATAGAAAAAAACAATATCATCTACAAACTTACAATTGTAATTAGAGCATCTTGTTAATAAAGATTCTACTTTATTAAATCGAAAACCTCCTCCTCACATATTTAACAAATTTTGTATAACACACATTTTTACGTTATCTTTAACTTTTTAAATGAATGACCTTTAAATATAATCATTCATAAGTTGCTCTAAGTCTGAGTCCTTTGTTTTTCTTTAAATATCTAAAATTCTATTTAATAGTTTCATTACAAAGCTTCTGCATTAGCACTTTCATTTGGATCAGGTTCTAGCCCTTTTGCAATACGTCTCTTTTGTCTGGCACGCAGTCGTCTTTCTCTTTCAAATTCTTTAAACTGCATTACCTCACTGAAAAAATAATATAATAAAATTTAACAGTGTATATACTAAAATAGAAAGAGGATTTATCATTTAAAAGTCAACAGGGGCTGCAAAATCAATTGTCCAATTTGCCAAGGTTGTTCCACAGAACGTATGGACAAGAGAAATTTTACCAGAATTTACTTTATAAATAAAATATGGATGAGTTAAGAAATAAATCTGATAAAACGGACAAATAACTCAAAATCAGATTTTGCCGGCCCTGACTCATTGCATCCTGGAACTTGTATATATATATATATACACATGTTGCATGGCCCTGAAACAAGTTTCATCAAAAAGCTGAGTTTGGCAGATTTTCGGCTTTCTACAAAACAATAGACAATATGTAACATTTTCATCCTTTTTAAAGTCAAGTTATTGTTAGGCTGGTACTTCATCAATGAGAAACCTACAGTTTAACATCCCATATAGCTCTGGAAGTGATTCAACAACACTAAGCAATGAGTGTAAAGTTTCTTGCCAAAGCAAACAACAGCTAGCCCCTGCCAGGGTTTTAATACACACAACCAACCATCCCTAGAGTACTGATGAGTTAACCAATAGGCCAAGTCTGCACCTCTGGACCAATTGATTGTAGAGGAGGCTTAAGTCCAAAAACAAATATAAATCATTAAATCAATAATACCTTTAATACACTTGTATTTCCAAATATCTGTATTTCTACATTTTTTGCATAAGATGTCTACATTTAGAATTCTGTATTTTATATATATCATAATTTTTTTTACACATATATGAGAACCACTTAATTTTATTTTAAGCACATAGCCATAATCTCACAAAGTGACCTGCTGCAAAAACTCCAACAGTGTATACTCACAGTCCATATCTACAGTGTTTATACTCGTCCCAAACTGGTTCACATGCTTTTTTGAACAGTCTCTGACGGTAAGGAACATCCCTGTAACATTTCATAACGTCAACATATTTATGAGCGCAATAGTTTCTGTGTTCTGCAGGGATCCTTGTTTCTATCATCTCTTCAAGAGTCATATGCATCTCTGAAATATAATAATGATAAATTTATAAATATATGACACTGTCATGATATATATATATATATATATGTCATACATATTTAAGTACATAATTGTACAATGATTTTTTTCCATTTTTCAAAACAACCTGTGGCTTTCTGAAAGGGAAAATATACCGAGATAAATCAGAAAAGGGGAAAACCTGAAATCTGATTTCAACAACTGAGAATGGGAATTACCAACCCATTTTTGTAAATTTTCATTTTCAATTCACTTTAACATGCATGGTACATAGCAGGGGCTGTATATAGGGACAGCTAGCTGTCTTTTAGCTGATATAAGTCAGATGCTGTAAATCTCCAATTTTGGAGACTGGAGATCAACAACAAGAGCTGTCACAGGAGACAGCGAAGCTCGACTAATAAAATACTGGACGCAGTAAGGAGGACAAAACTATGAAAGAAAAATCCATTATGTATAATTATGTATTAAGTTATAGAAAAAAAATAACATTTGTTAACATTAATTCCAAGATCAAGGGGAATAATTCTAGAAATAGTCATGCTAGAGTTATGGACCTTGTCACACAACATTTGTGTAATGATAAGAACTAGAACTGCCACTATCATGGCGTGAATACCCCCGCATACCACTTTGTCAGAATTAACAGTGGCCATTTAGAGCTCAAGGACAACCTCCCTGCCAAATCTGAGGTTACTAAGCCAGTGCATTGCTAAGTTATGTATTCTACATGCTTCAAATGTGAAAATGTCAAAATCAATATATTGCGGACAGGACATTCTTTAACAGTTAAGAAGAAAAGCTTTTTTGTCAAGGTCCCTGTGACCTTGACCTTTGACCCAGTGACCTCAAAATCAATAGGGGTCACCTTATAGTCATGATCAACATCCATGCCAAATATGCCCCTGTGACCTTGACCTTTGACCTGGTGACCTCAAAATCAATAGGGGTCATCTACTTATCATGACTAACCTCCATTCCAAATATGAAGACTGTGGGTCAAAGGAATCTTAAGTTATTGGGCGGACAAGCTTTTTGGAGTCAAGGCCCCTGTGACCTTGACCTTTGACCTGGTGACCTCAAAATCAATAGGGGTCATCTACGAATCATGACTAACCTCCATGCCAAATATAAAGACAGTCGGTCATAGGAATCTTAAGTTATTGGGCGGACAAGGTTTTTGAAGTCAAGGCCCCTGTGACCTTGACCTTTGACCTGGTGACCTCAAAATCAATAGGGGTCATCTACTAATCATGACTAACCACCATGCCAAATATGAAGACAGTGGGTCATAGGAATCTTAAGTTATTGGGCGGACAAGGTTTTTGAAGTCAAGGCCCCTGTGACCTTGACCTTTGACCTGGTGACCTCAAAATCAATAGGGGTCATCTACTAATCATGACTAACCACCATGCCAAATATGAAGACAGTGGGTCATAGGAATCTTAAGTTATTGGGCGGACAAGGTTTTTGAAGTCAAGGCCCCTGTGACCTTGACCTTTGACCTGGTGACCTCAAAATCAATAGGGGTCATCTACTAATCATGACTAACCACCATGCCAAATATGAAGACAGTGGGTCATAGGAATCTTAAGTTATTGGGCGGACAAGGTTTTTGAAGTCAAGGCCCCTGTGACCTTGACCTTTGACCTGGTGACCTCAAAATCAATAGGCGTCATCTACTAATCATGAGTAACCACCATGCCAAATATGAAGGCTGTGGGTCATAGGAATCTTAAGTTATTGGGCGGACAAGAAAAAACCGACGGACGGCCGGACGCCGGACGGACAAGCTGATTCCAGTATACCCCCCTTACAACTTTGTTGTGCGGGGGTATAAATATATATTTGAAGTTTGAAGTAGATACCTTAAAAAGTAAAGAAGTTATTGTATTTCTTAAAGAAAATCCTAAGTTCAAAGACAGATAAATCTGTAAATATTGCTTCAAGAGTTATGGACATTGTCACATAAAATGTAATTGATGATAAGGAATAAGTATTTGAAGTTTTAGGTAGATACCTTAAAAAACAAGAGCGATCAGTAATCACATGTGTCGCCTCATGATGGCCAATTTCATGTTGGGACAAATTTTGTGACAGATGGACAGACGGACAGACAGACGGACAGTGCACAACTAGACTTGGTACTGATCATTCCTGTAAAGTTTGAATTAAATTGCACCAGTAGTTTATGAGGAGTAGTCCGGAAAAGCTTTTGTGTATCTGGCAACACACAGAAAAAAACACATTTTTATCAAAGGGCCATAACTTGGCCAAAAATCATTCAACCGGAAAACCCGTGCAACATGCGCAAGGACTTGAGCTACAGATCAATCCTGTAAAGTTTCATTGAAATTGCATTAGTGGTATAAGAGAAGTAGTCCGGACAAACTTTAAAAATAAAAATTATTAAAGGGCCATAACTCAAACAAAAATCATTGAACCGGAAAATGCTGACAATATGCACAACTAGACTTGGTACTGATCATTCCTGTAAAGTTTGGATGAAATTGCACCAGTAGTTTATGAGGAGTAGTCCGGACAAGTTTTGTGACGGACGGACGGACGGACAGACAGACGGACAGACAGACGACGGAGAAGTGATCCCTATATGTCGCCACTACTCCGTAGAGGCGACACAATAAAAAAGTTATAATAAAAAATAACATTTTTCTAGTAAAAAAATCTAAGTTTATGGAGAGATAATTCTTGCAATATTGGTGCTAGAGTTATGAACCTTGTCACATAAGATGTGGATGATGATAACGTAAATATATTTGAAGTATGAAGTTGATCCCTTTAGAAATAAATAAGTAACAGTAAAAAATAATATTTATTATGGAAAATTCTAAGTTCAAAGGGAGATAAATCTAAAAATATTGGTGCTAGAGTTATGAACCTTGTCACATAAGATGGGGATGATGATAACGTAAATATATTTGAAGTATGAGGTTGATCCCTTAAGAAATAAAGAAGAAACAGTAAGAAATAGTATTTTTTGAGGAAAATTCTAAGTTCAAGGGGAGATAAATCTGAAAATATTGGTGCTAGAGTTATGAACCTTGTCACATAAGATGGGGATGATGATAAGGTACATATATTTGAAGTATGAGGTTGATCCCTTAAGAAATAAAGAAGTAACAGTAAAAAATAGTATTTTTTAAGGAAAATTCTAAGTTCAAGGGGAGATAAATCTGAAAATATTGGTGCTAGAATTATGAACCTTGTCACATAAGATGTGGTTGATGATAAGGAACATATATTTGAAGTTTGAAGTTGATACCTAAAGAAATGACAAAGTTGTAGTGGAAAATTTTTTACTGCACCAAAACTTTAATCTAAAATCTGGACGCGGACGCCGATGCCGGGGCGAGTAGGACAGCTCTCCATATACTTCGTATAGTCGAGCTAAAAAGGATAAGACCCTTGAATTGAACGTAAAATATACAAAAACAAAAATACAACTTGTATGGTGGAATTTAAGTCCATGTATTACTGAAGTTGACTAGAAATTAACTTTTTATATATGTCATAGAAAATGTATAGTTTAAATATGAATTTACTTTACTTTGATTGGAACTTTTAAGCTTAATTGCTTTTAATCTGATTGCATGGGAAGCTAAAAACTTCTTGAAACATTCTCAAATCCGCTCCAACTTCCAGGAACCAACCAGTACTTAGCAATGAATGTTAAGTTTTTTGCTTAAGGAAACAACAGCTTGACCCTGACGGGTTTGAACCCACACAGCCAGCTATTCTTAGATTACTAGTCTGGTGCTTTAACCACTCAACCATGACATCACTCTTGTAGAAAATGTTTCATAAACATGTTTAGGCTGATTGGATAATTTGAGTATTACTGTGGAAAAAGAACCTAGGATATATACGTCATGCCACAGGGAATTAATTATGATTAGAGCTGTCATCAATACAAATGATATTGATGTATCGTTGATATTTTAATAATGGATACACATTTTAGAAAATGGGTCAAATACAGAAAAAGCCGGGGTTGAATTTGTATACCAAATATCATGATGCTGTGATGCTAGGAAAAAAATTTACCACTGACCATTAATGTTGAAAATTAACCCAAGTCAGTAAACAGGAAGTGGATGAGTGACAGACCTGAAATTGAATCCCACAGTATGGGACCATATGACGTCAATGTGGTATGCCAAATATCACAAGGCTGTGATAAGTAGTTGCTGAGAAAACTGTTACGAAAATTTCCTACCATTGACCATTAATGTCGCAAATTTAACTAATTCGATAAACAGGAAGTGGATGAGCGACAGACCTGAAATCAAATCACATGGTATGAGACCACATATGCTGTATGCCAATTATCAAGAGGCTGTCATAAGTAGTTGCTGAGAAAACTGTAACAAATATTTCCTATCATTGACCATTAATGTCAAAAATTTAACTAAGTCGGTAAACAGGAAGTGGATGAGTGACAGACCTGAAATCAAATCCCACTACATGGGACCACATGCCAATGCTGTATACCAAATATCACGAGGCTGTCATAAATAGTTGCTGAGAAAACTGTTACGAAAATTACCTATCATTGACCATCAATGTTGAAAATTTAACTATGTCGGTAAACAGGAAGTGAATAAGCAACAGACCTGAAATCAAATTCCGCAGTATAGGACCATGTGTCAATGTTGTATGCCAAATATCAAGAAGCTGTGATAAGTAGTTGCTGAGAAAACTGTTACAAAAAGTTTTTCCCTGCCCGCCTGCCCAACATATACCATACTAAAACCCGCCGGCCAATAAACAATTTCACGTTTTTACAAACAACTCAATACATGTAGATGTAATTGAACAAGAGGAGGCTAAGGCCTCTTCCCAATTTAGTGAGAAAAATCAACTGGAACATTATTATCTAACATCCCAGGCAACATTTATATTTGATCTGTTATGATAGTTTTATACTTGCAACACTATGTCTTTGTTTCTCTACTAATCAATTCTTAAACAAGAACGTGTTT